CAGGACCGTGGATGGTATTGCTTCCTTGATTCCTGCTTTTTTCTCACTTCCCATAACCAATCTGTAAGCAGGTCTTATGGATTCTACTTCCAATATATATTTTGAATTTCTCTTCTTGCTCCATATCCACTGCCACCTCCCCTAGCCTAGGCAGCCATCTTTTCTACAACATCTTTCTAACTGGCTTTCCTGCTTCCACTTTTGCCCTCGTCCAGCCTGTTTGCCACAAAGTAGCCAGTATGATCTTATAATGTAAATAGCATAGTGTCACCGTCTTGCTTAAAATCTCTCAGTGGCCTTCCCTTTGCTCTGCAGATAAAGACCAATTACCTTAAAGTGACCTCTAGGGCTCTCCATGACCTGGACTCTGTGAAGTTCTCTGGGCTCACTTCACACCAGCCTCACCCTTTTTCTCTCATTTTTTTCTGTCTGCCACTCTAAGCCTTCACACAGGCTCTTCTCTCTGCCTGGAATGTTCTCCCAGCTGACAATGGCTTGTTCTTCAGCCACCTCAGGGAGGCCTCTCTGTGGACACTATCTCATGTTACTCTCCCATTTTGTTCTCTATCACAATACTTTGTTTCATGATGTACTTGACTGCCAACAGGTTTGTGGGCTCCCACCTGACACAGGAAAAAACTATTATATTCAATGTACTTTTAGCACCTACTTCAGCATTTTGCACAATGAAAGAACTTAATAAATACTATTGGACAAGTGGATGTTTTAAAACTGTAGGGTGGCACAGACAGGCTGGAGTTTTGAAAGATTTCTGGCTGCAGTATGGAAAGAGAAAGAAATAAAGGGGAACAAATTGGAGGGAAGTGGCTGCCATCTCACTGGACCAACTTTCACTGTTGAGAGTTAATGATTTAAAAAAAACGGTTTTAGGATGACTCTCATGTGGCCTACAGGGTGAGAACTCTGTTCTAATTCCTCCAAATCCATACTCTGAAAAGAAGGGCCGGAAGTACAGATCAAGAGGAGGCCATGAGCTAAGCATGCACAAAGCCTTGGGTTTGATCTTAGCACCATTTTTAAAAAAAGAAGAAGAAGAAGAGAAAGAGCCATCAAATCTTTTCTGGATGAATTCAAGTCAGAGAAAAAAGGAAAAGAATTAGTAATGGTGGTGTTTACCTGTAATCCCAGCACTTGGGAGGCTGAGACAAGAGGAATGCTAGAGTTCAAGCCAGCCTGAGCTACATAGTGAGTCCAAGGCCAGCCTGAATTACATAGCAAGACCCTATCTCAAACAAAACTTTTAAAAAAATTTATCACTAGCTATTTTTTAGAGTAGTTTCAGGTTTACAAAAAAAATTGAGCAGAAATCACAGGGAGTTCATGTTTCCCTTTTCACTTTTATACTTCCTTAACCCTCAGTTTCCTTTACCCTTAACATCTTTTTTTTAAAATAAGATGCTTATCCTAAGCATCTTATTTTAGTGTGACACACCTGCTATAAGTAATGAACAAATATCAATAGGACTTATCAACAAAAGTCCGTAGTTTAGGGCTCATCCTTGTGTTGTATAGTTTGATGTGTTTTGCCAAATGCATCATGTATATTTACACCTCCACTACAGTTTATTACACAGCATAATTTTACTCCTCTAAGAATCTTACATTCTACTTTTCATCCCTTTTCCCCAACTACCACCAACTCCTAGCAACCATTGAGTTTTGACAAAATTTAACTGTGATAAAATAACATAACATGCTGGGTGAGGTGGTGCATGCCTGTTATCTGAGAACTCTGGGAGGCTTAGGCAGGAGGATCCCAAGTTCATGCCCAGCCTGGGTAATTTAGCAAGACCCTGTGTCCAAAAAAGCATTTTTTAAAACAGGCCAGGGACTTAGCTCAGGAGACTATTGTAAAGTATGTTCTTCTGTAGTGTTAAGCATATTTACACTAGTGTGCAATCTCCGGAACTTTTTCACCTTGCAAAACAGAAACTTTTACTCATTAGACACCTTCCCATGCCTCCCCGCAGCCTCCCACTGACAGGCCCTGTTAACCTCCATTAAAAAAAAGATAGAGGGCCGGGGATTTAGCTCAATGGTTCCACAGCCTGCCTCACAAGTGCAAGGACCCGAGTTTGATCCCCACTACCAAAAAAAAAAAAAAAAAGATAGATATATAGATATTTATCTAGTTATTCATTTATCTGTCAATCATTTATCCAAAAAACATTTACTGCATAGTACTTTGTGCTAAACCACAGGATGTGTGCTATAGGATACCTTAGGCCAGTGATTTAGCTCAGTGGCGCTGCCACCTGCCTCACAAGTGCAAGGTCCCAAGTTTGATCCCTGGTACCAATAAACAAACAAACAAACAAAAAAGGGCCTTGATTAAGTTCAAGGACTCTGGAGCCCTATCACTCAGATTTGAATCTTTTCCCAGTCATTTCTAGTAATCCAGTGGTAAGCAATTTACTCAGTCTGAGCCTTGGGGTTCTTATCTGTGAAATAACAATATGACCACTTACTTTGTGGATGTTAGATAAATGCATTGATGATTTCAAAGCTTTCAGAGTGCCCAGTACGTCATAAGGGCTGCCTGCTAGCTAGTAATTTGTTTTCAGGGTACAGGAATGAGATGGTAGTATGGGGGGGTAGATAATGACCCCCAACTCAAAATAACCAAGGCAGAATAGTGTCTGCACAGGTAGAATTTGCTGATGGAAGGGTGAGGGAGTCCAAGTGGAGGAAGCAATCTCTTGAGCTGAGCATTGTGGTTTGAGTTTAGATTTGATTCATCATGCTATGGGTTGAACACTTCTTAGGATGACGATAGGCAAATATCAGTCTTCATGTCCTGAAAGTTTGGGATCATGAGGCACCTGTACGCCACCTTGACCTCATGCTTCCTTTTTTGAGACTCTTGGTAAAAAGCCTCAGCTCAGGGCATACAGCAAATTATTTAACAAATCATTTTTTCACTCTGCAAATATTTACTAAGAACTTACTGGGTGCCAGGATTTAGGCTAGATGGGGACCCACGAATAAAATATTACCTACTCCAAAGAAGCTCATATTTTCAAATAAATAATGATGGAGACAGAACATGAACCCAGATCCCTGGACTCCCTGCATAAGACTTCTGCTTCATGGCAAAACAAATCTTAGGCTGCAGCACTGTGGTAATCTTTTATAGGAACAAAATCATTTGAGTTACTTTTCCTACCTCAGAAATAGTTATAGCTTCAGGTGCCCTGGAACAGGACCTCATATAATCCAACCAGTTTCTCTCAGAGCCCAAGGCTATCTGAATGCTGTTTATTTTTCAAATCACAGCACTGCCATAGATGACTCACAATGACTTTTGTGATCTGCTTTGAAACCTACATTGCTTATGTTTGCCCAAGCTAGTCTGTCACTCTCCCCAATTTCTTGGTCTTCAGCATCATTCTGGTTTTGTTTGCCCTCTCCTCATTTTGTGTCCCACACTCCCCTTTAGCTGGGGTCTATTCCCCAGCTACAGAAGGATTAGTTAATGTTTCTGTTTGAGCACCCACGCACCTTCAGCCCCACAAATTACGCACAGGTCCTAGCCACACCCTCTGTGCAGGGGCTGCCTTCCTGTTGAGAAGGGGGTCTAGGGAGAGAGATTATACCCACCCTGGTTCCTTGTCTCAGCTAGTGGCCTCATCTAAAAAAAAAAAAAAAAAAAAAAAAAAAAAAAGCAGATTTACTTAAATGACACTCCAACTGTCACTCAGCATATGCTGTAGTCCAGCTCTCCTTTAAGTACCCAGCCAGTCATTCCCCTAGCTTCTGGCAGTGGGTTGCTGACTCCCGCCTGAATTAGTTCCACTTGCTCTGGAACCTGCCCTCCCTTCAAAAGGAACCAGCCTTGCCAAAAGTTACTGCGCCTTCCCAGATATATGTAGTTTGTAAACACTGATCTGGTCAGCAAGGATATCAACTTCTGCCCCCATTGGTCATACCAGCCTCAGAGCATTCTTTGGATCCAGCTAAAGCCTGATTAAAATGTTCGGTGCTTTTATTGCTGTCTTACACGCGCTGAAGTATTGCTCTCGTTGCTGTAAGAATATAAGCTCACCAGGACCTATTTTAAACTCATCTACTGTACTATTCTATCATATACCGTATCATATACTGAAGTATTTATCATAACATTGCACATACTAAGCTCTGGCTGTTGAACGACTGGGTTACGCGAACTTTGCACTGGGTCTCGGTGGTGCTGTGAATCAACTCAGGGCTCTGAGTATGCCAGAGAAATGCTCTACCACTGAGCCACATGCCCAACCAGGGCCCGCTCTTAGGAGCATACCACCTGTAAGAAGCTTCTACCAAGCTTGGCTAGGGGAGGCTCGGGGCGTGGCCCTGAGTCCCCGCCCCCAAGCCCAGGCAGAGGGCGGAGCCCGACTACACCG